TCGCCGTGACCCGCCCCTACGTGAGCGCCGACGCCACCGACGCGGCCGGCGGAAAGAGGTGCAAAACCTCTTTGGGAGGAGCAGCCTGCTTTGGCCCGCTAGCCTCCGGGGCCTCTTTCGCACAATCCCGGCTTTGCGTCCCCGCACCGCGCAGGATGCTGGGAACTGTAGTTCTCGGCGCACCCCCAGACCGCCTCGAGCGACTGTGGAAAGTATCGGAAAAGGACCCCAAGGCACAGCGCATGCGTTTTGCCAGGGTGTCGTCTTCTGCTGTTCCGCGGAGCGGTGGGCGTGCTAGGTTCCGTTTTATAGAGAGGGGCGGGGACGAGGATGTGGAGGAGGGTCTCGAGTTGGATTTTGTATGGTTGTGGAAGCGAAGCGGGTGGTGGAGACTAATTTCTCAGTTTTCCTTTTTCTTTTTCTTTTTTTGTGGAGGACCAGGAATGTGGAGGTTTAGCTAAATTCTAAGATTGGGAAAGAAATCTAATGTGCCTTTACATTATTCACCCGTTCCCCAGTTCCAGTCTCCCAGCCGCAGCGTGTATTATGAGGAAGAAAATTGAGGACCAGAGGTCCTGTCTCTAGGTTACTCTGGAGAACACGGGCAAAGCTAGAGAACCCATGGCCCAGTCGGACAGAAGGCCAAGGCCTAGCTAACTTTATCAAACAAACCTGTAATAAATATATTAAAATGTACTTTTAATATTTTTTAATGTCTTATACCCATGATAATAAAATGTTCTTTTAAATATTATCTTATTAAATAGAATATTTCCTTAATAAATAGAATCGTTGAACTTTTCTCAATGTTCACGCTCAAAAAGCAGTCTATAAAACGGTTCCCTCACGTTCAACTGTGTTTTAATTTTTCTCAATACCTTACAAAAAGCCTTTTGTTAATGCGCCAGCAACTGTCAATAAAGGTTTTGAAATTAATTCAAGTTGGAAAATTCTTTTAAATCTTAGATTCCTGATTTTGTCTATATACAAACCTACCAGCTGAACAAACTTACCTGTGCCTGTAGTAACTATTATTTAATATTTGATATTTCCTGCATTTCCTCCAAGTGCCTTTTGACTTCAGTTGCTTTTCGACCTAGTACGTTTGAGAAATTTAGAGGCAAATTGAGAAAGAGAAATGCCTGTGGTGTTCCTCAAAAGCTATATGTAAATATCTCTAAAACTTAAATGCCTAGGCAAAACTTGTACTTAAGTTTCTTCTGACATGCTGGTGAAAGTTCAGTGGAACATTTACGTTAACAGGTTTTAGGTAGGAGTGGGTAAAACTCTTAGAAAACAAACATATGGCTAGAGCCCCCAAACACTCATACCCTTTAATTCAGTTGCTATTGCAAGGATTTATCCTGAAGACATAACTTAATCTGCAGGAAATGCTTTATGCAAAATATTGTTTATCACAGGTTTGTTTGTAATAGCAAAATTTGAAAAACATCTAAATGTCTAATAATTGGGAAATGGAATGGTTCAACTTTGACATGCACTCTACCAACATAACACTATAGTGTTTTTACTGTCACTGAAATGTTTAGCAAAAAATGTTTAGCAAAAAAAATGTTTAGCATGTTTTTTAAAAACTGTAAGATATATGTAATATGATCAGTACCATGTCAAACCACCAGGCAAACTGTACCTGAAATAGGAAACCTACTTAATAGTAATTTTCTTTGTATCCTGGACTATGCATTTATAAGAAACTCCTTTGAAACCCACTAACAGATTTATTAGAGACTGCCGGTAGTTCCCACAAAGCCCAGTTTATTTAGCTTGGTGTAGCAAAGGAGACCAAACCATAGGCAAAGCTTAGGAGTCTCTCAATCCTAGAAAATTAAGAAGAGATTAGGTTTTGTGATTTTAAGGCCAGTCTGTGAAGTAGGGAATTGGTTAGAATTGGAAAAAGCGGAGTTGTTTTGCTGATTGGCTTGAGGTTTAAAATGGAGACTTTTAATTATGGGGAAACGCTTTTTGTGTGACTGAGGGAATTTTATGTTTTACTTGGGCTGCTGATCCATTATTTTGCTTTATGAGTTAAGGTCTTGAAAGGAGCCCATCATTGGTTTTGATAACTGCTTGGATTTAGTTCTCTTAGATTTGTCCTAAGCAACATCATAATAGATTTCCAGATCTATGTCGGTGACATTATGTTGACATTCTTCCTTCAACTCATTATGTAACAAAGAAGTAAAGACTTCAACATTAGCTTTATTTTCATCGGTTTTCTATTGACTACTTGCTGTTCTTATTGAACGATTATTTATAGAACAATCTGTCTGAATATTGGCTGCACGGCAGCATTTAAGATTCTGGAGACCTGGTCCTTGACTAAGGGAATGCTACCAAGATGCAAATTAAATTCATCAATAAGGCTCAAACTCTTGTTAAGAATCTTTACTCAATAATCATAAATCTCAAAAAAATAAAAATAAAAAAGGAAGTCTGGCCAGAATGAGCTTGTACTTATTTAAGGAAAATTCAACTTGGGTGAAAGAGTTCATGTATACACAATACCAAATCTTATTATGCTTTAGTAAAAGCACAAATATTTCCAATGCAATTATTAAGAACCATATTTGCGTTGGATTAAATGCTCTTCATTTAAAACCTCGCAATTGGAATGGTCTCTTTAACAATTTCTAATAAAATAAGAAATAGATGTGAAGGCATTTATTCCAAAACAATATCCTTCAGAGAAGAAGATGGCTTTTTGTATACTATGGAACCAATTGTCATTGTCATTTCCTGTGATTATGGGATCAGAACAAAGAGCATTTGGTTCTCACAGCGGTCTCCAACCTTTTTGGTATTCCTATGAGGTGGAGCTGAGGCAGTGATGCTAGCTTTTGGGTGCAGCAGCAAATACAGATGAAACTTTGCTTGCTTGCCTGCCACTTACCTCCTGCTCTGTGGCCCAGTTCCTAACTGTGACACTCTTCCTGGTTTGCAGACAGTCTTCTTGTATCTTCTCATGGAGGACAGCAGAGAAGCAAGCTCTCTTGTATCTTTCTCACAAGGATATAATTCCATCATGAGGGCTCTTACCCTCATGACCTGATTACCTCCCAAAGGTCCCATCTCCAAATACCAACCAAATACCACAGGGGATTAGGGTTTTAACATATGAATGGGGGGCAGGGAGAACACATACATGCAGTCCATAACAGAATGATCAAAATCTGGAAATTTAACATTGATATACTTTTTTCCTAATCTATAGTCCATATTACATTTTATCATTTGTCCAGTCCAGGATTACATCATGCATGGAGTTGTATGTCTCTTTATTCTTTTTTAATTTGGAGTTTTTAAGTCTTTATCTTTCACAATATTGATGTTTTTGAAGTACCAAGGCCAATTATTTTATAAAATATTCCTCATTTTTGGTTTGTCAGATCTTTTCTCAATATATTCAAGTTATGCATTACCAGACAAAATACTATAAGTGATGTTGAAGTGTTTTAGATAGACTGTCACATCTAGAGGCATATGATGGCTATCTGCCCTCACTGAGGACATTAATATTAATTATCAAACCAAGGTGTTGTCCAGTATCATCACTATGTATTTTACCCCTTACAACCAATAAGCAATCTGTGGTGATATACTTTCACACCATGCAAACATCATGCTCCTCATGAAATGTATTCCCTTATATACAGCATATTCTGATGATTTTTGCCTATAGCAACTTTATTATAATGGTTACAAAATGGTAATATTCCAACTCGACTGTTCTCTCAACATTTTTTAATAAGCATTTTTTTGTAAGAAAGAGTCTTACCTTCTCTTTTTAGAAAAATCTTATTGTATGAACATTTAATTCCTTTTTTAATTCCTTTTTTAAAAAACCTTTCATTACATGATTTTTTTTTTTTTTTGACATTTGCACAGAGAACAGATATTCAGAATCAAATCGAGAGCCTTCACTGCATGTTACCTGGTAATTACTTTGTAGATATTAGGGATTCCAAATGTAAGAGATAATTGATTAACAATTTTTTCCTGTGGGTCTACTTTTTCTACCATGAAACTTATAACACTTGTCTTAGATGTGTTAGCCATGCTATACATTTATGTTCTGATTAGTTTATTCTTTTGAGATAATTTTACATTCACATGTAGTTTAAAAAAAAATAATACAGAGTACTTTTGGTATGGCACTGAAGAGCTGTGCTGACCTGTTCTCAAGTAAAACTGATGAAAATTACATTAAAAATACTTAAAGCCGATGGAAGTGGTATTAAGGACAAAGAGCAAATAAAGAAATATCTATTCAAGAAAATTATGAAAATTCTGCAACAAAGGCAAGAGTCTATGGTATTTGAACCAAGACAATTCCCTATCACCCGCTCTCCCAGCTCAGTGAGACAGAGACCACTCGAATTGCTGCAGAGAAGAACAAAGGGCTCTCTCTCCACTCCTTCACCCCCAAGTCCCAGTCAGAGAGCTCTTTTCCTAGAAGGAGCAAGACATCAGCATTTCTCATCTTGTCCTCAGATATCTGTTGTTAAGATTAAGCCTTGGGTGAGTGTTGTTGAGAGGTAGAGGTTCTCCTTTTCTGTGCAGCTGACACTTACAGAACAGAAGTTCTAGTTGAACACAGTGCACTGAGAATACTGGGGCCTTTATCACCCTTGTCCTACTTGGTAAGGTGATGGGTTCTATGCCAGGAGAGACAAGACCAGCGGACATCAGGCTGATGCCCCGACTCCTCTACCAAGGGTTCAGCTAGAATGGGATATCACTAAAAGAGAAGATTGCCATTGTTTCCACCCCTATCTTCAGAGTTCTGGT